GTCTATGAGAGAGGCATCTTTTTTTTTTTCCAAATATATTTTATTGATTTTTTACAGAGAGGAAGGGAGAGGGATAGAGAGCTAGAAACATTAATGAGAGAGAAACATCGATCAGCTGCCTCCTGCACACCCGCTACTGGGGATGTGCCTGCAACCAAGGTACATGCCCTTGACCGGAATTGAATCTGAGACCCTTCATTCTGCAGGCCGACGCTCTATCCACTGAGCCAAACCGGTTAGGGCGAGAGAGGCATCTTTATCCTCATTTTATGGATGGGCAACTTAAGACTCAGAGACAGTAATATACTCAAGGCCTCTTAGCTAGGAATTGAAAGAGCTCAAATTCAGGAGTCTATCCTCCACCAGAACTCAAACCCTTTATGCTTTCAGGTGGTCTCTGGCATGACAGTTTAGACAGAGGCAGCTTTAGGATGGGAAGACAGGAAACATGTTGGGGTTTCATGTAAAATATTAACAATGTAGTCAATTCACTATACAGCCATAAAGGGGTAAGTGAAACAGTACATCTCAGGGAAGAGGAGAAAGCTTTGTGGTAATTCCTAGGGTGGATTTTCTTCAAGGGTTCCCCATTGACTCCTATTTAAAATCCAAATTCCTTTGCCTGAAATTAATTTTGGAAACTTTTGGAAAATCTAAATAGGTGAAAAGATAAAGAGGTAACTCTTATCAATATACACCTTTTCTTTTCCTTACTGCTATCTCTGTAATCATCTAAAACAAAATTTAACTGTTATGTCCCTTAATTTGCTTTTCTTACTATAGGATGCCGTGAATATCTTTCCAAAAAATATACAGTTTTGAGTTCTTAGATAGTTGCATCTGTTGATTGTATGACTTCTTCCATTTCTTTTGTGGTTATAAGGTCTTTACTATTATGAGAATAGTCAACTATAGTATATCTATGGAAGCATCTTCACATTTAATTCTGTGAGTCATCAGAATTAATGTATCATGGAGTGTGTATAAAGCAAAGCTCTAACTTGATCCACCCTCCCCCCACACACACCATACCAGCCATTTCCCCCTGATTCCAATTGTTGAAAACCCCTTTAATAGCCATTAGTTTGGCATGCTTTCTTCATTGTATAAATTATTCTTGTAGATGTCAGAGCCTATTTCAGCGCTGTCTGGTCTGTTCTGCTGATCTTTCTCTTGAATTTAATAATGAAAGTCCTAGAATGTGTTATAGAACTAGTTCCACACTTTTAATAATGAAAGTTCTATAATGTGTTATCTAGCAGAGAAAATTCCCCTTCCTTACACTGATTTTTCAGAAATTTCTTACCTGTTTGATCCATTTATTCCATCATGTGAAATTTAGAATCAGTTGGTTAAGTTTCAAAATCTCATTTGTAAAATTTTGCTAAAATCTCTCAGACAAGCTGCAGCTGGTGACAGCATGCCCCAAACCTGTCAATAAAAGGCCCAAGACCTGACACTAGCATCAGCCTGCCTTGCTTCATAGCTGGGCCTCCAAGCCCAATCCAAGTAGCAAATAACAGCCGTCTGCAGATCTTTCTATAGCTCCTGCCAGGTGGCCCAAGCAGTGGCTGACTTTGCACCTCCCTGGAGGTCCTAAAGCCAGTGCACCCAGTATACAGCCTCAGACCATAGCAGATTACAACTCTACACATCCACAAGCGACACACACAGGAAGCAGAATCAGTGAGCACCAAAGCCCCACTGAAGCAAGTCCTGCTCCATAGGGGTGTTTTCTGCACAGCATCTTTCCCACTATAGTTGCAGCTGGTCCTCACAGCCAATTGGCTTAGAAGTCAACTCCTCCCAGTTACACCAACAGCAATCAAGGTTCAACTATAAGACTATGCACACAGCCCACACAGGGGTGCACCTAGAGTGCCCAACTCAGGTGATTGGGGAGGCTGAGCCACTAGGCCCTATAGGACACATACTACATTCTGCCAATCCCAGGAGACATAGCAGCTCTACCTAGTACATAAAAACAAACACAGGGAAACAGCCAAAATGAAGAGACAAAGAAACATATCAAAAATGAAAGAAATGGAAGCAAACAAACTACTGGATACAGCGTTCAAAACCATGGTTATAAGGATCTTCATGAGACTTTCAAGGATCTTAGTGAGAATGTCAAAGACATGGAAAAGGACCAGTCAGAAATTAATACAGTAACCGAAATAAAGAATAATTTACAGGGATTCAATAATAGAGTAGAGGATTCTGAGAATCAAATCAACGATTTGGAATATGAGGGAGCAAAAAATCCCAATCAGAAGAGCAAAAAGAATCCAAAAATATGAAGATGGTGTAAGTAGCTTCTGGGACAACTTCAAGTGTACCAACAATTTGCTTTGGGGGGGTGCCAGAGGAAGAAGAAAGGGAGAAAGATATTGAAAACCCATTTGAAGAAATAATGACAGAAAAATTCTCCTACCTGGTGAAAGAAATAGACTTACAAGTCCAGGAAGTGCAGAGAACGCCAAACAAGAGGAATCCAAGGAGGCCCACACCAAGAGACATCATAATTAAAATGCCAAGGGTTACAGACAAAGAGATAATCTTAAAAGCATCAAGAGAAAAGCAGTTAGTTACCTGCAGGGGAGCGCCCATATGACTGTCAGCTGTGTTCTCAACAGAAACTTTGCAGGCCAGAAGGGAGTGGCAAGAAATATTCAAAGTGATGAATAGCAAGGAACTACAACCAAGAGGATCAAGCCCTGACACTTTACCTTCTTGGGTGACTTTGGAAGGCTGAGAGCCAGCAACGCTGAGGACCAGTGCCTGATTGGAGTCAGGCAGACTATCAGGCTTTCTGTTGTCAGTTCTAGGACAAGTTAATCTCAGTAATTGAGGCCAAAATGGCCCCAGCTAAGAGCCGTTCTCCTGGCCTTAGGTGGGCTAATGTATTATCATTGCCGGTTAGAGTAACAATATTTCTGGGAAAGTAAATAACAATATTTTTTCTGGTAATATATGAAACAGTGTTGCAGTAGTTAAGAGCATGGACTCTGGGCCAGACTGCTTGTGTTTTTATATTAGTTTGCTATTGCTGCTGTAACAAATTACCACAAACTTATGGGCTTAAAACAATACAAGTTTATTATTGTGTAGATCTGGAGATTAGAAGTCTGAATTGGGTCTCATTGAGATGAAATCAAGATGTCAGCAGAGTTGTCTTCCTTCTAAAGCAGGGGTGGGGAACATCTGGTCCGTGGACTGTATGAGGCCCTCGAAATCATTTGGTCTGGCCCTGCCAAGGCATTAGGGGTGAGTTTAATGTTTGACCACCTGTAGCAGGCTAATTTTTAAGCTGATAATTTTGTATGGCCCAAGAATGATGTTATAAATATCCAAATGGCCCTTGGCAGAAAAAAGGTTCCCACCCCTGTTCTAGAGGCTGCCTGCATTCCTTGATTCATGACCCACCCCCTTACATCTTCAAAGCCAGCAGGATAGTCTCACTTTGACCTCTGCTTCTATGATCACTTCTCTTCCTTCACTCTCTTGCCTCTTCCCTTTCCTTTATCAGGCCTCTGTGATCACATTGGGACCATCCTGATAATCCAGGATGATCTCCCCATCTTAAGATTCTAAATGTAATCACACTTCCAAAGCCCTTTATGCCATGTAAGCCACCATATTCACAGGTTCTGGGAATTGGTACACGGATGGGGGCCATTATTCTGCCTACCTCAGTTTGCATCTTACCACTTACTAATTGCGTGACCTTGTACAAGTTGTTTTTTTACCTCTTGTTCAGTTTCCACATCCTTAAAATGGGCATAATAATTTCTGCCTCATAGGATTTTGGGAGGAGTAAATGAGTTAATATTTTATCATTTATGATAGTTTCTGACATATGGTAAATGCTATATAATTATCTGCTAGCTGAAATCTATTAAAAAAATAAAAATATACACATTCTTTGATCTAGCAATACTTTTTTTGGTCATCTATTTCATAGAAGCAAAAGCATCCATGCATTAGGCTACATAAAGTATTGTCCATATTGGCCAAAAAGAAAAAGAGGAAAAGAAAAAAATGCATAAACAGGAAGTCATTGTTATGACTGTTAACAGAATGACTGAATCAGTTGTAGTCCATCTGGAATATAATGAGCTATTAAAGAAAATACATTAGCTCTATACTTAAAAAACCCAGAACAATATCCTGAATGAAAGTTATGTTAGAGGAGGAAGTTATGCACGATCTCATTTTTTAGAGCACAAGTATCAACCCCCCAAAATTGCTGTATTTATTTGAGCCAACTTTTAAACCTCTGAATGTCTAATTTTCTTCATCTGTGAAATGAGGATAACAATCATTCTCCCCTAACTGGCTAGAGCCAGCCATGGGCAAACTACGGCCCGTTTGAAATGAATAAAACAAACCAAAAAAAAAAAAAAGACCGTACCCTTTTATGTAATGATGTTTACTTTGCATTTATATTAGTTCACACAAACACTCCATCCATGCTTTTGCTCCGGCCCTCCGGTCCAGTTTAAGAACCCACTGTGGCCCTCGAGTCAAAAAGTTTGCCCACCCCTGGCTAGACCTAGCAAGGATGAAGTGGGATGAAATGTATCAAGTCCTTAGAATCCTGCAAGCAGCTGCATAGTCTGGATATTTGTATAAAGTGGTTTGTTTGAATGGAGAGAGGTGTGAAAGGATGTACCCAGGATGGTTACCTGGTTACCTCAGACATGGGGAAAGGAAATTCAGAAGTGGTGGGAAGAGTTGATTGATGTTTTAAAAATGTCTTTGCATTGTTTCATGGATGGAGACTACTAGCCACTGTTACTTTAGTAACTTCCATATTCTAATGTTTTATTGGTAGTTTGGATACTACCACCATAACAACAAACACTGGATTGGGGAAAGCACAAACCTGGAAACATACCATGATTCAAAACTTGTCATATTTTTAAGAGGAATGAATAAAAAAGGGGGGGGGGGGGAGCAGGAGAGCCCTAACTCAGGCCTGCCTTTTATATCCGCAGCATCTACTGCCGAGGCTGCTCCAAGCCGCTGTGCTGCTCTTGCGCGCTCCTGGACAGCGGTCACAGTGACCTCAAGTGCGACATCACCGCAGAGATCCAACAGCGGCAGGAGGAGCTGGACGCCATGACGCAGGCATTGCAGGAGCAGGACAGCGCCTTCGGCATGGTGCAGGCGCAGATGCGGTCAGCTGTTAGCCAGCTGGGAAGCGTGCGCACCAACCTGGAGGAGCTTATCCGCGCACGTGTCCGCCAGCTAGTAGCCCATGTGCTGGCACAGGAAAACGAGCTGCTGGAGGCAGTGAACGCGCGGTATCAGAGCGAGTACAAGAAGATCGCGGGCCAGTTGGGCCAACTGGACGCTGTGCTGCAGCGCATCCGCACGGGCAGCGTGCTCGTGCAGAGGATGAAGCGCTATGCCTCAGACCAGGAGGTGCTGGACATGCATGGCTTCCTGCGAGAGGCGCTCCGCCGCCTGCGCCAAGAGGAGCCCCAGAGACTGCACGCCGCTGTGCGCACTGATGGCTTCGAAGAATTCAAGGAGCGCCTGCAGGACCTCGTCTCTTGCATCACCAAGGGGACAGGTAAGCTGGCCTGTTTACCATTTAGGGCTTGTGCCTTGCTGCTCCCTGAGGAAGGCGGGGCAGGAAAGATCATTTCCTGTGGCAGAAAAGGAAACGGGCTTTTTTATTATCTCTTGGGTTTGACCACGTCGTAGGTTCCAGGACGCAGGATAAGGTGGAAAGGAGCCCCTGACTTGGGGCTGCTGCCGCTCAAAGGGGTCATATTTTACTAATGTACAAGACCCTGTGAATCAGCTGTGATCTTGTGATCCTTGGGGAAGTTAAGAAACTACAATGCTGAGAACTAGACCCAATATCATTTTAGCCCCAGGGGGACCGACCACTCCAGAAGAGCCGCCTGTGTTCAGCAACAGAGAAGTCAATTGGGATATGAGGTCACGCAGATGTGGACTGGGAAAACCCCCTGGGGTGACTGGGTGCTTACCCCAAAGAACACTATGGCTCAGTGGAGATTATTTGCCACCAGAATGGCCTGCCATCTGGACCAGCTGACACTTTGTGGGCCCTGCCTGGTATTGGGTACTTGGGGGGTGGAAGAGAGCAGACCAGTTCCTCACCTCAAGTTGTCCAATCCAACTGGGAGACAAAATGGGGGCATATCACATAGCTGGAGAAAGAGACAGAGCTTGGCTCTGCAGTCCAAATTCAGGCCTTATCGCAGCTCCAACGAGCTGGATACGGCAGGGCACTTTCAAGAACCTTTTCAAGGGGTGGGATGTGCGAGAGGGCCTCAGGGTGAGGAGGCTTTAATGGCTTTTTGAGCAAATCTCTGGGGTGGAATCTGAGCTCTGGACAGCTGGTATGAAAAAGGGGAAGGCAGCTAAGAATCTGAAGGCCCCAGGGCAGGTGTCAGTGAGAAAGGGCTCACTCCTTCCTGCCATTGGAGCTGATGGATATGGGCCCATCAAAGTAAAGTCTAGAGTAGGCACGGACTTGTGCCTTCTCCATCAATGCAGTGAATGTTACCCCGTATACAGGAAATGACCCCACAGACGTTTAGACAGCTTGCCTTGGGGGTTGTAACTGGGCAGTGACAAAGAAAGGAGTTACATATTTTAATCCAAAGCATGAGAGATTTAGATTAGATTTAATAAAACCCAGGCTTCAGGTCAGAAGAGTATCATGGAGAAGACAGCAAGCAGTAGCACCTTTAGCATCGTTCACATACTGCTTTGGTGTTGGCCTAGAGATGGAGAGAAGTGTACTTGTTTGGGGCCAAAGGCAAGTGCTCACTGATGCTAATGCCACCCCTTTCTCCCTTCTGGCTGGGTTCATGCCCACTGCAGTCAGGGAGCTTTCCTTCCAACTCTTAGCCCCTCCATGGAGTGCTCCAGTGTTGTGAGTGGCCCTGGAGAATGGGTATCCAAGAAAAGCAATAGGCACATTCCCCCCTTCCCTCTTTTACTGTCCCAGGCCAGGAGCCCTCTCACCAGGAGTGTCCCTAGCCTGCTATGACCTTCTCTGTGTTCTGCAGATGCAGCTCTACCCAGGAGAGCCAGCCCAGAGGCGACCAGCACTCCCAGGGAGCCTTCTGACGTTGATCTGGTGAGATGGGTTTGAGGTCTGGCAGGGAGGCGGTACGGTCCAGAAGGTCAGGCAGGTTGAGAGTTCCCCTATGTCAGAAAGGAAACCGAGTTTTGTCCCTGTATCTGCAGGTGATAGAGTAAGGAGGATACCTGGAAAATGAACAGCAAGTGGCTGGACTGGAGTTTTCAGTAGGAGAGAGGATTGGTGGCTTTCTCTGGGTTCCTAAATGCCACAGTAGCTCTTGATGGGACATGAGCTCTTGATGGGTTCAGGAGCAGTTAAGCCTTAGGAGTGGACAGAAGACAAAGGAGGTGATCACTGATGGGCACTCCTGATGACCTCTCCCTTCCCTGCACCCCATCCTGGATATTTGAGTCTTTTCAGCAGGTGGACCTTTCCCTCTTCTTCCCCCACACATGGTTCTTGGAAAGAAATGGAGAATGAGGCCATCCAGCAGCCTGGGGTCGATTGGTATGATTTCAGGGTCAGCATATATCCAAGAACCATAGTTTCTCAAGAGTTGGAAGCTAACGATCCCTCCTCTAATGTTTGCGTTCCCTTTGCAGTGCCCCTGACCTGTCACCGTTCAGCTTTCATACACACACCCTTAAGGACAGGAAGCTCACTCATTTTTGAAGGCTGACACTCCCATCTCTGGACTGCTCTGACTTAGAGTGTTTCCCTGGGTAAAAATGCAATGGCACCCCCTGACTTGCCCTCTTGGGTGCTTGCATGCATGGCACTCTCCACCAGGATCAGTTTCCTCAGTTCCTTCCCGAACCAGGTATCTGGTCTCCTCCCATCCTGCTTAGCCAGGTTTGCATGTGCCTACCTGTCCAGAACTGATCAGACATCCATGAAAAGCGGGTCTTCTGGTGTGGGTGGTCAGGGTGGCAAGCCTGCCTGGATTTGCTTTACTATAGCATGGCCCATAGGAGAGGGAGAATGGTGAAGGCTAAGGCAACCGGGAAAGGCTTCCTGGAGGAGGCAGGACTTTTAGATATGAGTATTTTACAGCTAGGAGAAAGCATAGAGTCTAACCCCCACCTTTTACAGAAGATGAAGCTAATATTCAGAGAGAGGGTGTGGCTTAACCGGAGGCCTGGGGCGGGGCTAGAAGCCAACTCCTGCCTTGGGTATCACATCCCTATATACTGTACATAGCTCCAAAAGTGACCAAAGGGAAAAAAAAATACATTTTAATTGTTGGATAGGAAATATAATCATATGGTCAGAAATAAAAACAGAGAGAGAAATGTCTCACTCCCATCTTTTCCCCCCATCTGTCAGTTCTTATGCTCACATACCTATCTTTTTTTAACATTACATTTCCTTCCAGAATTTCTTTATGTAATTATAAGTAAAAACAATTATAGATATTTGCTTTTCCATTCTCTTTTTGCACATAGGTAGCATAACACCATGTATACATAGCATTGTGCCCCAGGCTTTTTCACCCCATCAAATATTCCTTCCTGGTGCCTTTTTGCACTTGCATGTTAGACCACTGACTACAGCATGCTTTATTCAGCCAGTTCTCTGTTGATGTATATTTAGGTTGTTTTGTATTACATACAGTGCTAGGATAATGTCCCCAAAGAAAGCATATGAATAATAGTGGAAAGTGCCCTGGGCCCACAGATCTCAGCTGTCTTCCAAGTGCCACTTGCTAGTTGATGAACAGCAAGAAAGCCCATACTGTCCGTGTAAGGTCTAGGCATTTTGCCATGTCTTATTCTTGAGGTGACTTCTCACTACCCACTACTAAGTAGTTTGAACTTGGAGCATGAGAAGAATGCTCTTTCTTGCAGAGCCTCTTGTGGTCTTTAAGTAATAGGCTAGAGGAGAGGATAGGTAGGCAGGTGGAGCTGGGAGAAAGGAAGGGAGTAACACTGTGAGTGCAAAAGACAAGTGAGGCAGCTCCAATGAGGCAGGCAGGTCTGGTTTGTTCCAGGAGAGTCAGGTCCATCATCCAGGAGGAAGGCAACTCCTAGATCCACATCCCTGTCTGGGCCTCTCGTGCCAACACTCATCCCTCCTGCAACTGTTTGTTAACTTTTATTACAACGGTATGCCTAGGCAGAGATGACAAAACATGCCCACAGGTTTAACTAGGACTTCTGGGGGAGTGGGGTAGCTCGGGCATCCCCTCTTTTGTTTCTCAGAGACTTTTTTTGCAATGATGTTACAATACTATAATGAAAAAAATAAAAAATTTTAAAACTATGAAACAATTATAAATCAGTCATCATGATATTTTTTTTCTTGCTGAGCCTCATGTGCCCCCTGCTTCGTTAATATTGGGGGTGGGTGTCAGGGAGGGTAGAATGGAGGCAAAGGGGAACAAACCCTGCCTTTGAGGAGTTCACAGCCCATAGGGAAAGGTCTTTTACTGACCAGCAGCCTGTAGAGCCAGACATGAAAGGTAGAGCAGGATCTTTTCAACTTAAAAAAAGTTTTTTTAATGGTGACAAAATACACATAACATAAAATTTACCTATAAGTGGATTGGTGGATTATATGGTAATTTCATTTTTAATTTGTTGAGGAACTGCCCTGCAATTTTCCATAGTGGCTGTACCATTCATTCTACATTTCTACCAAAAATTGGGGTTTCAATTTTTCCACTTTCTCACCCATACTTATTTTTAATGTCCCCATTGATATTTTAGAGAAAGAGGAAGGGAGAGGGAGAGGGAGAGAGAAACATCGATCAGTTGCCTCCTGCATGCACCCCACAACCCAAGCATGTGCCAGGGATGGAGCCTGCAACCCAGGCAAGTTCCCTGACTGGGAATTGAACCAGCCTTCTTTCAGTGCATAGGACGATGCTCAACCAACAGAGAGTCACACTGGCCAGGGCTACTTTTTTAAAAAAATATATAATAGGTTGTTTAAACTTTTTGGCCACCACCCATTGTAAAAAATATATTTTTACATCTAGCCTACACTCTGTAGAGTAGACATACACACATATTAGTTAAAACAGAAGTTTTGCAAAACAAATGACACTTATACATGGGATTACTATATTTCCTGTTCTGTGAAATATAAAAAATGCGGGTCATGACCCACTCGATTGCTTTCATGATCTACTAATGGGTCACAGTAAATACAGTTTGAAAAACACTGGCGTAGAGCACTCACTATAGACTGTGCACTTCCCTGGAGTCAGAGATTGCCCATTCTCTGCCCTTCCCACACACAGGCTTCATTCTCTGATCCCAAGACAACTCTCCTCCCTTTTTGTAAATATGTTGTGCAAAAGAAACCCAGGATTGCCGTAACCGGTTTGGCTCAGTGGATAGAGCGTCGGCCTGCGGACTGAAAGGTCCCAGGTTCGATTCCGGTCAAGGGCGTGTACCTTGGTTGCGGGCACATCCCCAGTGGGAGGTGTGCAGGAGGCAGCTGACCGATGTTTCTCTCTCATCGATGTTTCTGGCTCTCTATCTCTCTCCCTTCCTCTCTGTAAAAAATCAATAAAATATATTTTTTTTTAAAAAAAGAAAGAAACCCAGGAATGGGGGAAGAAAGAAGGAAGTTAGTCATTATAGCAGACAACGGAGGAGCCCACAGCCCACATCAGAGCACTGATGATACCAAAAAGAGCCCTGCCTGGCTCCGGTCCGGTACACGTCACGTGGCCCCCTTGTACTGGGCCTTCCCTGTCTACCCCAGCCTGGGTTTGGCCAGATCATCGCTGGTGTCCTCTGAGAGTAGGCCTGGCCACATCTTTCCCCACACAGGAGGGGCAAAGCTTGTCCCAACTAGGAAAGTATCCGGGCCTTATAATCTCATGGTCGGTCACCTGGCTTTTCCAATGCAGCTCTACTTGATGAAGGGCCCCTCTGCTGCGATGGAATGCCTTGCTTTCACTCTGTGGACAGACTGCGTGCTCCTGACTGATGATCATCACATAGAATTTGAAGCACCAGTGGTCAGGAGTGTGGGCCTCTCCTTTCAAAGGAGCACTTCCCATGTAACTCACTCATTTTTAACCAGCCGTTCAGTTTCACACAGTAGGGAAGGGTGGCAGGAGGGATGTAAAGGAGACAGAGACTGAAGAAAAGCGAGTTGCGCGGGCACTGGAAGGGAACTTTCATTTCACAGCACTGTTCAAACCCTAGTCCGGGCCCCTATTAGCTCTGTGACCGTAGGAAATAACTTCCCCTCTCTTGTGCTTCAGTTTCCTTCTCTGTAGATTTGTGGTAATCATAGGGTGGTACTTACCTCTTGTTTTAAAACTATGTTTTTATTGTGGTAAAATTCACGTAAGGAAACTATTTTATTTTTTTAATCTTTACTATTGAAAATATTACATATGTCCCGTTTTTCCCCCATTGGCCCCTAGAAAACTATTTTAACCATTTTAAAGTATAAAATTCAGTTACATTTAGTACAGTCACAATCTTTTTTTGTTAATCCTCACCTGAGGATATTTTTCTATTGATTTTTAGAGAGAGTGGAAGAGAGTGAGGGAGGGAGAGAGAAAAAACAACAATACATCAACATGAGAGAGACACATCAATTGGTTGCCTCCTTGACCAGGGTCGGGGATTGACCTACAACCCAGGTACATGCCCCCGACTGGGAATTGAACCCTCAACCATTTGGTACGTGGGCTGATGCTCTAACCACGGAGCCACCAGCCAGGGCTACAATCACAATCTTGTACAACCATCCCAACTATCTAGCTCCAGAATATTTCCATTGCCTAAAAAGGAAACCCTGAAGCCATGAAGCAGTCACTCCCCATTGTGCACACCCCCACCCCCTGGCAACAACCACACTGCTTTCTACATGTATACATTTAGCTATTCTGGATATTTCACATAAATGGAAATATACAATATGTATCCTTCTGTGGCTGGCTTCTTTTCACTCAGCATAATGTGTTCAAGGTTCATTCATGTGTGTGTATCAGAATGTTATTCCTTTTTATGGCTGAATAACACTCCACTGTATGGGTGCGCCACATTTTATTGGCAGACATTTTGGGCTGTTGTGAATAGTGTTTCTGTGAACATTCATATGCAAGTTTTTGTTGAAACATCTGTTCCCTGTTCCTTTGGATACATTTGTAGGAGTAGATTTGTTGAATCATGAAAATTCTGTCAGACTTTCTGAGGAGCTGCCTCTGCTTCATTAGGGATGGGTACATGAAGCACCTGCACTGAGCCTGGCACAGAGCGGCAATAAAACACTGTCAGCACCATCAGGTACTGAGTGCCAGGTGCTCTTTCTAGCATTTTACTTAGTAATGTATGTACTTCATCCACACTGCCTGGGGGGTAGAGAGCATGATTATTCCCATTTACAGAGAGGGCCTGAGGCCCCAGGAGTTTTAAGTGATTTGTCCAAGATGCGTTAGTGGCTATTCTGACACAGGCAGAGTTAAAGCCCCTCGGGCAGAGTGAAGGCCACAGGGAGGCCAGTTTCAGCTCAATAGAAGGGTGTCCTTCCTATTACAACTTGGCTGCTGTAGAGGAACTGGCTCCTGCAGCAGTGAGCATTTTGTCCCTGGAACTGTGTAGGCTAGATGTCGAGCAAGCCTGGAGGAGTTGTTGGGCAGTGATTCCTGGATGCCAGCACCTCAGGGCCATGCGGTACAGACATGGAGGGTGTGGGGAAGACTCCTGGTCCCTAAGGCTTCTAGGCTTTGGACTGAACAGCCTGTACCTATGGCTGGGTGAGGCCTTGGGAATTGGGCTGACCCTAGGCCTAGGTTCCTAGCCCTTATCCTGCTGCATAGTCATTTCTGATTCTCCCTTTCTGACTTTGCAGCCAGCAGGGGCACAGGTGCAGGCCCTGGGGCTGGCTGAGTCTCAACCTGTGGCTGTGGTACAGTCGGTGCCTGGGACACACCCTGTGCCAGTGTACGCCTACTCCATCAAAGACCCCTCCTGTAGAGAGGTAAGTTTTCTGCAGTCCTGCCTCCCCTCCTGAGAGCCCAGATCCCAGCAAGCAGTAAGACGTGGAGTTGAGTGAGAACCCAGACCTTAGTCAGCACCTGCTCTAGGCCCTTTCTTTCCCTCCGCTGCCCTCTACACTAAGCATATGAGCCACTCCCAGGGCAGGCAGAGGTGGTTAGTAGGCAGGGCCAGTGTGCATGGCAACCTGGGAGGACTTTCTGTGTGGAGAGGCAGAGAGGAAGGCCACAGGCCCCAGCCACCCAGGTCTAGGTCTCTGCCCACCACCTTAGGGCCCCTGGAGGCTCCTGACCCGGCACTGTGACTTCCCACTGCACAGGAGGTCTCCAACACAGCCACGCCACAGAAGAGGAGGAAGTCCTGCCAGACCGAGTGCCGCAGGAAGGTTATCAAGATGGAGTCCGAGGAAGAGAAGGAGGCCAGGGTGTCCCTGAGCTCCCCCGAGCAGCCCAGGCCCAGCACCTCCAAGGCAGTCTCCCCACCGCCCGTGGAGGCGTCCCAGAGCCCTGAGAGCCACACCGCAGGAAATGAGGAACTCACCAACCATGAGACTGGCGACTCTGGGGAGGCAGGTAGGGAGGTCAGGGACAGCAGAGGCTGAGGCCTGCATGCTGTTTTCCAGGGGCTGGGTGGGGCCCCTCTTCTGCATCCTGACCCACCCAGGGAGCCCAAAGCCAGCAGCATGCCCTGTGTCCTGTCCTCAGCTGCTACCAGATGGGGCAAGGAGAGCCCACAGTTTGCCTAGGGGGTGAGAGTGCATGTGGTTTATTTCACCATGTGCTTCGCTGGGATTCCAGTGTGGGGAGCACCAGGAGCTGAAGTTCACAGTTCCGTAGCTCCTTCCCCCAACACACTTGTGCAGAACCTAGCACCGTGCCTCTGCACAGCCTGGGTCTCCCCATGAAATGTTTGTTTGGTGGGTGTCTAGCACATTCCCAGAGAGGACTTGAGTAAAGGCCATGGACCCATCTGGTCCCAAATTTTTCTGCAAAGGCTACCGCCTGAGGGCCCTCATTTGTCCTAGATATCTTTCAGGGACACTGCCAAATAGGAAGTCCTTTGGCAAGACTAGAGGTCAACCCTTAGAATTCTGGAATGTTCAAGACAGTCCAGCCTTGTTCTCATTCTAGGTCCTAGCCCGGGCCCTGACCCTGCTCACACACCCAGCTCTAACTGATATTCCTTGCTCACAAATGCTCTTGGTAAATCAAAAGGTTTTAACTAGATATAGGCTATTTTTTAACTGAACATTGTCACAGGTGTGAGAATTGGAATACACCAATGAGCTTCTTTAGGATTACAAAAGGTTCTAACCCAGGTGGTGCTTGTCAGGCCTCCACAGGGAGCAAATGCTGCTCTCAGGGTCAGCAGCTGAATCAGGTATTCACAGACAGGGCCCAGCAGGCAGTCGTGGAAAGCCACTGTGAATAAACAGATCCCATAGGCACACACGGCGAATGTTGGCACCCCCTCTCGCAGGCCACACATCACCCACCCAGTCCACTGGCCAACAAAGGTCCCCACGGGAGAACGGGTTGGGGTGGGTAGGAGCGGGCGTTCCCAGCAGGGCCTGACGCTGCCTCCTCTGCCTTGTTTCAGAGGAGCGCGTTGTGGTGATCAGCAGCTCAGAGGACTCAGATGCTGAAAACTTGGTGAGTGGCCCAGAAGTTTGGCCCGGGATTCCTGCCTCCCCCCATTCCAGGGGACACAACCACAGCAGGTGACTCTCAGACCTGAGCTGTCCTAAGGATAATCTTCAAAGGCCTGTGGGCCTGGACCACTCCAGCCCTCCCTCCAGATGAGGGGCCTTCAGTAACCATATATTCTCTTCTTAACTGCTGATAGAGTGCTTCCTTCCAGAGCTGTCTCTTTTCTGGACTAGGCATTGCCTTTGTTGGGAGCGTCCTTATGTATTTCTGTCCCCTCCTAACAAGGAGGGTGGACACGACTAAGGGCCAATTTGAGGGATTGTAAGGGCACAGGGCAGCACCACGTAGGGCTCACACAAGCAAATTTCACTTCAGGTAAGAAAGAACTTCTTTAAATCCATCCAGTAATGGGACAGTGGCTTGTGGGTTGTGACCCTTCTGTCCCTGAGGTTTGTTAATGGGCAGTCCCCTGTCTAGGGGAAAAGAGGATGTGAACAGAGTGAAAGGTTGGACTGGGTGGCCCCTGAGTCCCTTCCAGCCCTCAATCTGAGGTTCTGTATTGGAAAGTGCTTGGAGCCCATGGAGACCGCTGCGACATACTCCCGGCCAACCCGCCCCCTGCTGAGAGCACTAAGAGCATCCCACACCTGCCGGGCCTCCCGTCTGCCCCGAGGTACATGCCGCTTCCTGGCTTGGCCTCCCCACAATCCCACCACGCAAGTCATCCCTGATGCCACATCTCCCAGCCAGCCTGCCGGGCACCAGGAGCACGCTGCCATCCACCGTGGGATCAGCCACCTGTCTCGCAGGATACAAAGAGCCATCCGCCTTCGTCACATCCACTTGCCACTCAAACCGTATTGTGCCCCCCGATGGACTTGTCCTTCCCCGATGGTCCAAGCCACTACCCTTGCCAATACAGAGCCTCCCAACCATCCTGCCAACCTCCAGGAGTGTCTTGCTTGCCTCCAAAAGCCAGCCATCAACCAACCCCGACTAGTGCAACGGGCAGGGCGGTCTCTTGGCCACTCCCTCCGGGGGTCCTCCCATTTAGCTCAGTGGCTCAACAGCTTCTTTGCTCTTCCTCCCTCCGTTGCTCCCCAGATTGATGCCTCTTTCAGAGGAGGCAGGGCAGGAGGCCAATCACCCCAGACTCTTGGGGCAGGAATTTCTCCCCAAGATTCTGACAGGACTCCTGTAGAGAATCCCCAAATCCAGGAAGTCCCTCCAAATGCAGCCCCATCACTCCTCTCCTCAGAGAGGCCCCCCATGAGCCCAGGTCCCCCTCAGACAAGCCTCTGAGAGCCCAAATTGCCTCCCTCTACAACTGCTGGCCACCAATCTCTTATAACCTTGTGGCCAACACCCACGCCCTGCTCTGCCCCCTCCTCCATCCCTCTGCCCAGCCTAGCCCACACACCTAAAGGCCCTACAAGCAGTAGGCATTCATACGTCTTGGTCAAAGAGTGAACCGAGGAAGGAATGGTTGCATAGACTCTGGGCAAGGAGACTTTAGTCCTTGTTAGTTGAGAGGGCATGACAGATTCAGGCCACCACTCCTCACATGTCTGGGCTTCTGCTCAAGAAAAGAAAGCTGCTTGCGACCTTTGTACCTCCTACTGTCCCTCCCCCTACCCCAGGCCTTTCCACTGGGCTTCTGTCAGTATCTAAGACCATGAGGGCAGGGACTGTGTCAATCCTAGGACCTGGCAGATGTGGCTGCTCAATAAATGTTTGTTGAAAGATCACCCTTGCAAACCCTTCCTCCGTGACCAAGATTCCCCACTGGACTTAGCTTTTGTCACTTCCCTGCCCTGAAACTTGGTTTCCTGTGGGGTTACTCTGTCCCTCTTTCCGCCACATCAGAAGTAGGAGGTGGGGTCAAGGCCCTGTGTCTCCTGGGCTGTTTCCGTCCTACCATCTGATAAGACTGCCTGTGCCTTTGAGGTTCCAGGTCTTAAGGTGAACCCCACTTCCCTAGCTCATATCTGATGTCTTCCTGCTTTCCCCACATACGGAAGATTCTGGCACCTGCCTTCTAAGGTTCCACAGCATCCTCTACCCCAGCCTCTCTGCTCCTTGACCTCTCAGGGGTCTTCACTGCAAGGCCACCCCTGGAACCTCACCATCACTGAACTGTCCATCTCTAAACTGGTCCACTCAAGATTGACCATAGCCTCTGTCCCTTGAGCTTCCCATCGGTAACTTCCAGTACCTCCACTCTCTCCCACCCAGCTCCTCCTGGCCTCCAGTTAGGCCTGCCTTTCACAAACAGCCCTGGTGAGATTCAGTAGGTTGCCTCTGACTGCTACCCAGAGCCGAATTCTGTTGGAGAAAATCAACGGGAGGAAAACCACAAAGGATAGTCAGTCGAAGGCACTCTCCAACCCTCCACCTCAGCTCACTGAACCTCCACAGCCTGAGATCTGGGCCCTCATCCCCAACATCACTCTCGGCAGGTGACCACCCTCGGCCCTAGGAAGACAACAGGAACCTTCAAGTGGCAAGGGAGCCGTTGGCATCTTGCTCTCCAGTATCCAACCACAGATTGACCTGATCCCATCACATTCCTCCCCCTGACCCATTAGGGTGGAGGGACATCCGCCTGTCTGGGACTCCTCTGTCCTGGCCCCAGCACCCCTGCCTCCTTGGGAGCCTACCCTATCTGCCTGTCCTCACCTCCATCTTCAAATACTTCCACTTCCTTAAGAGCCATAACTAAACATGCTGAAGGAAGTCTTCCCATCTCAGAACCTCTTTCCTTACCTCCCTGGGTGTCCCTTGCTCACCCCATTTCCCTGTTCTCCCTCATTGTGCCTGTGGACCCTCCCCCAAGTCCAATGGCCACCTCCAGTTGTTAATCTTGACCAGCATTGGAGCCTCCTGAGAGGCTGCTCCCCTTGGTTCGGGAGGGCTCCCTCCGCTCCCTCCTGCAGCCTGGCTGCTGCTCCTCTCCTTCAAGGTCTCTGTTCCTTTAAATGTTCCGGCTTTGGTTTTGGGCCTTCTTCCCTTTTGGTGTCTATACGTTCCTATAATCTGAGCCAGGCCTGTGTCTTCACTTATAGCCAGAGGCTGTTGAGACCAGCACAGCCAGAGATTCTCCTATAGCTGTACTCACATGTCCCAGAGAGATCTCAAACTCATCTCTTGCTCTGCGTGGTGAATTACGCCATCTGCCCAGTTACACAAGCTGAGACCTCGGAGCTGCCCAGGACCCCACCCCCATCCCCCGACACACACACACACACACACACACCACACACCCTTTCTATTCCTCGCAGCCAATCCATTTTGAGTCTTGTCTTTCCATGTTCTGAAATCTGGGCACTTTTTTCCATCCCATAATCTTGATAAGATTAAAACAAAATTGAGTCTGGGTGGAAGTAGAAGCCTGGGAAGAGGTGATAGAGAAAAGGACTAGATGCCACAGGTCTCCCCAAACTTCTGAGAGTCAAACAGGAACTGATTCCAGCTGTGTGGGTGGTAGGGTATCAGGCTAATCTTCAGCTGTGGGCAAGGAGCCACCTGGTGCCTGAGGGCATTGCAGGTGATGAAGAATTAGCTGCTCTCCTCAGAGACTAGCTCTGGAGGCATGGAGAGAGCCGGAGGACCAATGGCTTTTGTGTAGGTATTCATCAGACACAGTTTTAAAATTAACCATTACAGAAGCCCCAAACCTTTTGAAGAAATTTTAAAAGAAAACAAATGAGGTCCTCCTGGTGCTCTTAGAGCAGTGGTTCTCAACCTTCCTAATGCTGTGACCCTTTAATACAGTTCCTCATGTTGTGGTGACCCCCAATTTCATTGTTTCAAATTGAACATAATTAAAGCATAGTGATTAATCACAAAAACTATGTAATTATATATGTGTTTTCTGATGGACTTAGGCGACCCCTGTGAAAGCGTCATTCGACCCCCAAAGGGGTCGCGACCCACAGGTTGAGAACCGCTGTCCTAGAGTATTTGAAGCAGTTTGGAGAGAGGGAGCAGGGTGACATTCCCTGGGTCCTCTGGGCTCCTGCATTCCATGCCCTTTCCTCTCCATGGCCTTTCTCACCTTCCAGTGACAGTTGTGGAATACAGACCTGCTAATATGCCACATCTTCCCAGTGTAACAGGGCGTGTAAGCACCCTCCCCCTTTCCTTGGGCTGTAGGTGTGTCAGTTGCTGCAATGTAGACCTGTCTGGAGGCTCTGGTGCAGGCCTGCTGGCTTGGGGAGAGACTGAGTGAATGGGAGACTGCTCTGAAAGTGGCCTCGCCCCTTCCGATGAGGCAGTAGTTGGGTGGAGGGGCGAGACCCAGGCTTGGTGGTGGACATCTGGGGTCAGCAGTGCCTCTGCCATGGGCCCTGTGTTAGGACCCAAAGCAGAAAAAAAATGGGTGTTCTCACTACTCTGGTGACAGATGATTGGCCTCAGGGCCTGGCATCAGGAAGACTAAGTGGAAGCGGTAGGGGGCCTATCGAGGAGGAGGGGCTGTGTCAGAAGTGGCAGTGAAAGGGAGGCCTGTGGGGAGCAGCTGATCCAGGGGAGGGACAGTGATGCTGGTGAGTGTGTATCAGAAAAATAGGTGCTCCTCTGGGAAGATGTGAGCCGTGTCCCCTGAGGGACAGCAGCAGCCGGCAGAGGGGTTGGAACAGTGGGCATGGGGGCCACAGGTGAGCTAACTAGGTGGGCCCATTTACAGATACAGGTGAAGCATCTCTGGGGCCTTTCAGACTTTTCAAGAAAGATCTGGGGTTTTGTATCTGCAAAAACTAGCAGTGCATGTCTTGCCAAGCTGATCCCTACTGTTGCTTAAGCTTGGCTGCTGAGAAAGTCCTTCGGGAGCTGGGGACTCTTGATAAGCAATAATGTCAGGTACTAGGCAGTTATCTTCTGGTTACAAGATGCTGAATCTCAAAGGGTTTGGCTCCTATCTGGCTGATGACCAAACATGGACAATCCTTCTCAACCCTGCCTGACACTTGATCACTTGGGGTTTTACCAATGACAGATTCCTAGGTCCCATCCACAGAGACCCTAATTGAATTGGTCTGGGATGGAGCCTGGGCATCAAGAGTCTGTTAAGCTGCTAATGCAGAGCCAAAGGAGAGCACCCTGAAGGAGGTGGGGGATTCAGTTGTCAGAGAAGTGCTGCTAAGATGTGTGTGTATCAGTCTTGAATGGAGGTGACACATACCTCCTGGGATACTACCCAGAAGGGGAGAAGAGAACTGGATCAGGAAACACAGTCCATTAGCCAAGTATAATAAAAAAATAAATTCCTGTATTTCTTTGCATCTTTCAAAGGGATCCAACTCAAAACACATAGCAGCACTTTTTAAATTCCTCTTCTCTCAGCTGTCATTTCCCACTCCCTAGGTCAGGCGTGGGCAAACTACGGCCCATTTGAAATGAATAAAACTAAAAACAAAAAAAGATCGTACCCTTTTATGTAATGATGTTTACTTTGAATTTATATTAGTTCACACAAACACTCCATCCATGCTTTTGTTCCAGCCCTCCGGTCCAGTTTAAGAACCCATTGTGGCCCTCGAGTCAAAAAGTTTGCCCACCCCTGCTCTAGGTCCTCAAAGTGTTTTCCCCATCGCTCACTTTCTAGTCCTCACACAGGCACTCTCACCTGTCCCCACTTCATTTCTGCCCCCATTCCTTTCCCAGCCAAGAAACCTCAGCTTTTACCAAGGAAAGGCCCTTTCCTGGCTTCTTGGGTTCTGTTTTCATGCACTGTCCCTCTCTGTTCCCCCATCCACTCAATTATGCTGATTGAGGAATAGGTTGAGGTGTGTGGGGTGGGACATGAGGGTGTTCCTTAGTGAGCAGGGGTAGAAAGGTATTTTGTGTCTGGGCCTCTATATGCTGATTGCCCTTTAAAAAGTCTTTTTAAATGTGCCGGTACTTCCCAGGGTGGGGGAATTGAGTTTACAGATGGCCGGAGTTCAGTGGAAGTTGTTCCCATGAGAGCAGCCCCACAGAAAAGCCATACTTTATGGAAGTCCCCAAGGGCAAGAGGCACGTGGGAGCAGGAGGAATTGGGGCTGGGAGATCCAGCTTTACTCCATTGACAAGCTCAGCAGAAGGGAGCTGGTGCCCTTTCATTAGGGAAGCCTGCAGGGTCTTCTGTAAATTCAGACAGGACATTCCATGACTGTAAAAGAAAGTGACCCAGGACAATGGCAGGCTGGCTCTAAAAATGAGGTTCTGATGGCCATCATAAGTGACCCCCCTATAAAGATGGGGGAGCAGGCCCAAAGATGCAGTATGCTGCTCTCCAGGGAGCTTAGCTGGAAGAAATATCCTAAAGAAATATTCTGGCTCTACGGCCTGAAGAGACACCACAGAAGGAAGGAGGCAGGTGGAAGCCCTCAGGGCCACTGCATGTTTGGAGCCAAAAGAAGGCAGAAGAGAAAGCCTAGTGTATCATGTCAGTGGTTGGCAGAGAGGATTCAGGCAAGGGAATGGACCTGCAGATATTAGTAAGAGAGCTGAGGCCAAGGCGAGAACATAGCAAGGGGAGTTCAGCTCTCCACCAGCTATCAACTTCAAGGAAGATTCTGTAGAAGACTCCTTACAAGGGAGGGAGGAGGCCAGGACATGAGACAAGAGTCAGAGCCAGTTGTGTAAAACTAGGGGCCCAGTGCACGAATTCGTGAACCTTAAAAGGAACTGTGGGCTGCGAGGCACAGGGATGGTTCTCGGCCCATCCTCCATGCCCCCACCCAGCCCCTCCTGCTACGGCCCCTGGTCCCCTGTCTGCTGGCAGCTTCGCTCCTGCCACCACCATTCCCATGTGCTGACGGCACTGGCCCCACTCACACCTGCTGATGGTGTGGAGTGACTGGGGCCAGCTCCAGCAGAGGGTAGGAGTGGGGCTGGTGCTGGCTGTGTGTGCGAGCGGGACCATGGGCAGCAGCAGGTGTGAGAGGTGGCTGCCGGCTCCAGTCACTCCTCAGGAGCAGAGGGAGATGGAGAAGCCCTGAGGGGTGATGGGGGCCGGAAGGCACTACTTGCACCCGCTGACTATGCCAAACGATCAGGGCCAGTGCTGGGCACTGGTAGCAGGTGCGAGTGGAGGCTCTGGCACCAGCAGCAGGTGTGAGCGGGGCTGGCGTCAGCAGCAGGTACAAGCACTGGGTGGGACGGTGACATACAGGAGCAAAGAATTTTCAGTAACCACCAGAGCTCGCCCCCATGATAGTGACTAGTGCCCCGCCTTGGTCCGGTGCCCCCACTTACCTGCTCCACCATCCCACTGTGGCCAATGCCCCCATGTTCCATGCTCTGCTGCCTGCTGCCGACACCCACCATGTTCCACACGCACCCGCCGGTGGTCAGCGCTCATCATAGTGACCGGTTGTTCGGTTGTTCCACTGTTCGGTCTATTTGCATATTAGGTTTTTATATGTATAGATTAGCCTTGGACATGTGGCAGATTCAAGATACCAATATGCAAGGCATTTGACAAAGTCTCTTATTAGGACCTTCTGTCGAAAGTCCAGGAACTCAGGCTTCTCTAAGTAAAACTAGCTCTGGATGGATTTCTACTGAATATTTCTATCACTGACTGGGAGGAAATTGGTGATGAGTGTGGGGTAGAGCTATGAAATGTAAACAAAAGTAAAAATTAGCCACTCCTAGGAATATCCAGCACATGTTAGCTGTAGTTAACAATGACTTAGCTTTTGGTTGAATTTTTATTCATTAAATGTTTCACCTGGAGAGTAGAAGGGCCTAGGACAGTGGTTCTCAACCTTGGCTGCACATTAGAATCACCTGGGAATCTTCTTAAAATCCTGATTTCTGGGCCTCATCCTCCGGAAATTCTGTTTCTTTGTTATGGGGTGGGGCCATAACATTAGTAACAAAGAAACAGAATTTCCGGAGGATGAGGCCCAGAAATGAGGATTTTAAAAAGATTCCCAGGTGATTCTAATGTGCAGCCAAGGTTGAGAGCCACTGGCCTAGGAGAATGTGCTAATTATCTTCCATGGACATTAGTCAGAGCCAGGGTTCATATAGGCCTCAGATAGTCGCAAGTGAAGCCAACTCCATCAGCCAGCCAGTGGCAGTCCATAGAAGGAAAGACCAAGGCCTGCTCTGACCTGTGTCCCAGCAGTTCCCGCAGCCAGCCCCGGGCGCCTGCCATGCCCTTCCCTCCGGGTCTCTGGCTGATGTCCATAGGTGGCTTTCACAGGAGGTTCTGAGCAGGCCACCAAAGACAACATCTGGGTTTGGCAGCTGCGCAGATAACGAGCAATTAACTCTACATCATGAGAGAACACTTCTCCCTCTGTAGCCCCAGCCCCTTGGAAGCTGGAGCCCTTCCCGAACTTCACCAGAGACCTTCCAAATTTTTCTTGCCCCTTCCAACCTGTGCTCACCCCGGACGAGCCTCAGGCTTCCCTAAGCCGCCAGCTCCTGGTTGCTGTCTGGCAGCCTCTAGGTTCTGAGTTTTATCCCTCCACTGCTCTCAGTGCCGGGCTCTCTGTGTCTACCTAGGTGTGTGTCCTAGAAGCTAAGCCAGGGGTCCTCGAACTTTTTAAACAGGGGGCCAGTTCACTGTTCCTCAGACGGTTGGAGGGCCAGACTATAGTTTAAAAAAAAAGTATGAACAAATTCCTATACACACTGCACATACCTTATTTTGAAGTAAAAAAACAAAATGGGAACAAATACAATATTTGCATTTGCATGTGGCCCGCAGGCCGTAGTTTGAGGACCCCTGAGCTAAGCAGTCCTCCTCCTCCCCTTTGCATAGGACACTGATACCTCAAAGGGCTTTTGGAACAAGAAAAGCCAGGCTCCTGGCCCCTTCCAGAGAGACATCTGGGGTTCAAGATAAGACTCTTTCCTCCTGTCCCCAGTTTGTGTTTCTTCTGAGTCTGCTCAGAGATCAACTGAGAAGCAGGCACCTTGAGCTGTACCCACATAACACTGGTCCCGCTCCCAAGCCTCCACACCCCCCACACACACTTGTGTTAATATAGGTTCACAAATTCACATCTCTCCATGCATACCTAGATGTACACACACTTGCCCACATGATCTCATCCTCTTATCCCTCCTCATTAATGCATGTGCACTGGCTAAAACACAGCCTGCACAAGTGCACTGTGTACTCACCTAGGCACACACCTTCCCTTCCACAATAACATGCCTTTGGTCATGTGCATGCAGATGCCCAACTTGCTCATGTTCGCACACGTGTGACTATACACATCTGCTTACCAGCACATGCTCCCATGACCAATATGCTCCCTCTCACCCTCCGGACCCCTGACCTGTTGGTTTTTCTGTATTGCAGTCCTTCCGAGAGCTGGATGACAGCAGCAGCGAGTCCAGTGACCTTCAGCTGGAGGGCACCAACTCCCTCAGGGTCCTGGATGAGAGCCTCACAGACCTCCAATCAGAAGTCAGGCCCCTGGTTTTCTTTGACCTCAAGATTGACAATGAAAGTGGGTTCTCTAATGACCATTCCCACCCCTTTCTAACTTAGTCTCTAAGTCCCCAAGATAAGTACAAGCAGAGCCATCTGCAGGGTCCAGGAGAGCCCTGAGCTCTGGCCAATGACCACAGCCAGAGAGGGGAGAGCGAGTGCGTACTGCATCTCCCCTGGGACCCCCAGTGCCCGCTCCGTTGTTTGAATGAGGACAGCTGCCTTGACCAGTGCCTGAAAGTGTGAGGCAAGCGCCTCTAGGAGCTCACCTCTGAGGAGTGCTTCTCTTCCTTGGAGAGCCTTGGGAAGACACCTCTAAACAGAACCCAGTGTTTGTAGAAAATCACTGCTATGAGACCAGCAATTCAAGCCAGGCATTGGGCTGTGATTGCACATTTCTAGGTATAAGACCCATTCCACAGGGGGCTGCAGAGGGAGGCCAACAGAGCTGAAGTCACAGAGAGATATGACTTCTCTCCCAGAAGCCCCTCAACTCCTATAGTATTTGCTGAGGCCCTGCCTTATGGCACAGTCTCAGCCTGGGGCTAGCCCAGCCAGCCAGAAGCAGCGGGTGTTCCCGCAGGACAGGGCAGTCACTCACAGACCTCACAAGAGGCTCTGGGCCACACTCTGAGTGCAGTAGATTGGGCAGGTGTGTTGTATGTCTCAGAGCTCCAACTGGCTGGGAGCCTTAGCTAAGTGATTGGTGGGACTGGAGGCCAAGGGTAGGAAGTGGAGGGCTAAGTAGAAACTGTGCAAGTCTCGAGGGTAGTGGGGTGAAGCTGACAGAAGAGAGACAGGAGGGGCCTGGATCTAAAGGGTTTGGTGAACTCGGAGGCAGGTGGCAGGGGAGCGGGGAACTGGACTTCCAGCCAGTGAGCAAGGCCTTTGAGGGCAGCAGACCTCCTCCCAGCCTCTGCCTGCCTGAAGGCTGCTCTCTGTCCACTTCCCTCATATCTGCAGTGTGCAGTCAGCAGCTTCCCCTTGGGTTCCCCCAGGGGTTCTCCCAGCCTCTGCCTGCCTCAGTCTGACCTCAAGATTGACAATGAAAGTGGGCTCTCTAATGACCATTAGAGAAGACTTGAATCTTCAGAGCTTGGGGCATAGTTGCAAATGTTTGAAGGCTGATGTTTGGTTCCTGACAGCAGACCCCAAGGTGGGGTCTCTGGATAGTGGGTCAGCAGCCCTGGAGGTCCCCCAATCCCTCCCAGTGCCTCCCATGTCCCTAGGACCTCATCCTGCCCTTCTCTCCTGCCCAGCCCAGAAGATTAGGCAGCTGGCAGCCGTGAACCAGGAGAGCAAATTCCGAGTGCTCATCCAGCCAGAGGCCTTAAGCATCCACTCCAAGGCGGTCTCCCTGGAGGTGGGGCTACAGCACTTCCTCTGCTTCCTGAGCTCCATGTGCCGTCCCATCCTGGCCTGCTATAAGCTGTGGGGGCCCAGCCTCCCCAATTTCTTCCGGGCCTTGGAAGACATGAACAAGCTTTGCGAGTTCCAGGAGGCCATCTCCGGCTTCCTGGCCACTCTGCCCCTCATCCAGGAGCGAGTGCCCCAGGCCAGCAGCTTCAAACTCAAGAGTTTGGCCAAGACCTACCTGGCAAGAAACATGAGTGAACACAGTGCCCTGGCGGCTGTGCTGACCATGCGTGACCTGTGCCGTCTCCTTGAAGTCTCCCCGGGACCCCAGCTGGCCCAGCACATATACTCCTTCAGCAGCCTGCAGTGCTTCGGATCCCTGCAGCCCCTGGTGCAGGCAGCCGTCCTGCCCCGGGCCGAGGCCCGCCTCCTGGCCCTCCACAACGTGAGCTTCACGGAGCTGTTGACTGCACACTGTCAAGACCCACAGGGGGGCTTGAAGAAGTACAGCCGGTATCTACAGGCCACCTCATCGCCCCCTGCACGGCCTGCTCTCAACTTTCAAGCTATGAGTACCTACTTCAAAAGCCTGTTGGAGGGGCCAGCCTTGGCAGTGGGAGAAGGCATCTCTACCCCTCTTGCTAGCCACAGCTTGGCCCAAAGGGCTCCCCAGCACAGCTGAGATGAGGGAATGACTGGCTTGGAATCTCTGGGGACAGAGAGGGATGTTGTCCCTCAGCCAGGCCCTGCCCATCACAGCATCCCCAGAACCTGGTCCCTAATACTCAGCTGACATTTGGTCCAGAATTAGGTCTTGTTCTCTGGGACCAAACTCCCCTTCTCTAAAAATCCTACAGAGAAGGTTCCAAGGCCAAGCAGCCACCCCCTGGAGCTACCAGATCCCTGATGCACCAGTGAGTTAACTCACCAGGCCGTTGGCCCCTCCCTTGCAGGAGCCAGAACCAGGGAGGTCCTGGGTGAAGAAAGCAGGGCCTCGGCTAAGTGGCCTCCAGCTTGCCCCCCCCCCCCCCCCAGCTTGCCACTTTCTGTTCCTGCAGCTCCTCCCTGACTCCCAGCCACTGCCCAGGGGACCTGCCAACAGCTCCCATGGACACCACCTGCAACACCAGTGGCCCCACAGGTACTCAAAGTGCCTTTCAAACTAAACTGCCCCTCAGGAGCTTGGGTTCTCCCAGCCTCAGCCTGGAAGCCGGCCCTCTGTCCACTTCCCACATATCTGCAGAGACAGAAGCTGCTGTGCCATGCCTGTCCCCACTTCCCTCCACACTAGCTTCCTTCCTCTTGGCCACAGAAACACTCCCCTTAGTCCAGGCTTTGCCCTTTGGTCCTCAGGCTACTGACCCCTCTCAGCATGGCCCTTGGCCATGTCTGCAGAACAGGACTGGACTCTGGGTGGCACCCAGCAAGCTGTTTAGTGTAGCAGGCTGTCCAGGGGATGCCGATGCCGGCTGAGTTCCAGGACCATTGCTGTGCGGACTGCACTTCAAAGGAAAAGCTGTGTGGAGCAGCAGAGCAAGTCCCAACCTGGGATAAGGTCTCTTCCTGAGTCCCCTTGTCCCCACCCGTAAAATGCCTGGTTGGTCTGGATGGTCCGAGTCCCATTCAACCCTGCCATTCTGGGATTTTAAGAATGGGCAGCATGCCACTAGGCAGCAGACAGGTGGCTTCATTCTTGAAGCCTAGCCCCCAAGCCTAAGCTAAGGTTCCCGGCCTGCGGGCACAGCAGAGGTCAGCAGCACACTAGCAGGTCAGAGCCATCCCTTCTGACTGGCAGAACCAGTGTCCCCTCCCCTTCCCATCCCTGTTCCTCGATTTTTGCTACTGGGATGCAGTCCAGACCCCAGCTTCCATGGGCTCAGCTTTCACAAAGGTGAAGTCTGTGTGCGCACACCTCAGCCCCCGTCTTGTGGGTACCCTGAAAACCCATTAAGGGATTACATAGAAACTTGCTACAACAGCGAGAGCACTGGTTCTACCAGTGAATTCTGATGCATTTAAAATAGGTGCTGCCTCTGAAGCTTGGCAGAAACAGACTGATGGGAAGAGGGGAGGAGGGGCCTGGGGCCCTGGGTGGGCTGTGATGCCATCGTCTTGGCAGCCACAAGGCAGCCTAGGCCTGGACTGAGCAGTGCTCAACTATCCTAGTGCAAGCCCAGCCCCACAATGCCTGCTACCTTCAGATGCATTTCATCACAGCTTTTATAATAAAGTCTGATCTGCCCTCTCCACTTTCACAGCCTTTAATAAAGACTTGAATCTTCAAAGCCTCATGCTGCTCACCCTGAAGTCACTGAGCAGCATCCTGCCTGGTGAAGGGGGTGCTTCCAGGCCTCAGGGAACTCTTCTTTGTAGGGACCTTTCAGGACTTAGCAGAGCAGAAGGCCCCATGTTGCTCACTGCTAAGGGCCTCACAGATGTGAACCCCCTATTCCAAGTGGGGAAACGAGCATGGACCTGCCCAGGATTATCCCCAAAGGGGAGAGCCATGTCGGGGGAATGAAGTGCCAGCTTCAAGGATTACTCCTAGAGGAAGTCAGGAGCCAGACACCAAGGTCTGTTGGAATCTCACCTCAGCCCTCTGCTGGATAATCTTGTCCCCTGTCTGTGTCAGAGCCACAGGTGGTAAAACCCTTGGCAGGTAGGGGAGGCCCAGGATATTAGCAATGTGTGACCAATGCGTTGCTGTCTTGGGTGTCAGATTAGTACCTGCAGGGATTACCGTGGCACAGGCAATGTAGGTAGTAACTCTCCCCTGACCTGGGTGAGCAGCCAAGTAATGAGATTTGGTCACTGTCACCATCCTTAACCCCACCTCCCTGTCCCAGGTACCCAGATTCCAGTCCTGAAGTTTTCAATCTCCAAGAGCAAGCACAAACATGCACCCGTGCTTCATTTTTGAATTCTATCTGGTCTATCCATGTCAGCTAGCCGTGAGTCTGCTGGGCTAGAGGTTAGAACACCGAGTTTCAATCCTAGTAGCCTATGACTGGTCTGGTACGTCAGGCGCTGACTCTGTAAAATGGGGTAGAGGTCATTTTCACCTAATAGGATGTTTGTGAATCAGTGAGAAATGTTTGTGAAAACAGCTCTTTAATATGTGAAGAATCACCAAATGTAAGATCTTATTTTAGACAACTTAGATGACCATGTTATTACTTTATAAGTTAGAAAAAGAAAGAGATATTAGAGCTCAGCAAGAAAAAGTACATGGGCTTGTCTCCACAGGGATGAAGAACAAGATCTGGGACAGAGAGTTGTCTGTCAGACCCTGGGTCTGAGGGAGCTATGAAGGTGAGCGGGGGAGTCCACCTTGAAATGGCTAAACAGTAGCTGTCTCTGTGTCCCCAGTACACCCAGATGGGAGAATTCAGCCACATAGACCTGGAGCTGAAAGCAGACATCCTGTGACAGCTCAGCACTGCTCCAGTGCCTCCTCCTGAGACCCAAGGGCTCACTCACATCCAAGAAAGGTCACTTAAAAATGTGCCTTGCCGAGACCGGTTTGGCTCAGTGGATAGAGCGTCGGCCTGCGGACTGAAAGGTCCCAGGTTCGATTCTGGTCAAGGGCATGTACCTGGGTTGCGGGCACATCCCCAGTGGGAGGTGTGCAGGAGGTGGCTGATCGATGTCTCTCTCTCATCGATGTTTCTGATTCTCTATCTCTCTCCCTTCCTCTCTGTAAAAAATCAATAAAATATATTTTTAAAAAAAATGTGCCTTAACTCCAACCTTACACTCTTACCTGCATAACACCTAGCTGCTACCTGATGCCGGGCCCTGTTGTGCTCCCGCCCTACCCCTCCCTCATCCAGCCAGCACTGGCCTGCCTCACTCCCATTCTTTTTTTTTTAAATATATTTTATTGATTTTTTTACAGAGAGGGATAGAGAGTGGGAAAGATCAATGAAAGAGACACATCCTGCACACCCCCCACTGGGGATGTGCCCGCAACCAAGGTACATGCCCTTGACCAGAATCAAACCTGGGACCTTTGAATCCGCAGGCCGACGCTCCATCCACTGAGCCAAACCGGTCAGGGCCTCACTTCCATTCTTATTCCTACCCTAGCCTCACCCTGACCCCTAGTCCCAACCCTGACAATACCATACCTCAGAGGTTATCCTGCACCCTAAACCTCCCAGCAGATCCAGCCCCTGCCCTGCTCCTGCCTCCTCTGACTTCAGACTTATCTCTACCCCACCCCAAGTGCCCCAGCCCCTACACCTAGAATAAGAGGATCCTTTCTCACCTTTCTTTTTTTAAAATTTATCATTATTGTTGAAAGTATTATAGATGTCCCCACCTTTTTCCCCATTGACCCTCTTCACCCCACACATACCTCTCCCGCACTATTGTCTGTGTATCATAACTTCCTTGGTTAATATCTCCCCACCCACTCCCTTGCCTCTGAAACTCGTCAGCCTGTTCCATTGTTCTATGTCTCTGGATCTATTTTGTTCATCAATTTATTTTGTTCATTAGAATCCACATATGAGTGAGATCATGTGATACTTGTATCTCTGACTGACTTATTTCACTTAGCATGATACTCTCCAGGTCCCTCCGTGCTGTCTCAAAGGGTAAGAGATACTTCTTTTTTTTTTACAGCTGCATAGGATTCCATGGTGTAACTGTCCCACAGCTTTTTTGTACACTCATCTACTGGT